CACTGCAGCCCCCAACTCTCTGATCTCTGAGCCAGTTCCTGTGTTCCCCCAGAAATTTCCCAAAGACCTCGGAACCCCTTTGATTCCTTTTTAAGCATTTCTCCACAAAACAATGTGAGGAACAGAGGAAAAGCCTCATCCTTCACAAAGTTGTTACCATCAGAAAAACAGGCCCGAGTTCTGCCAATTCTACTGAGGTTTGGAGTCTCCCTCAGGGAGGGAAGGGACAGAGAGATGAAGTTAGAGAGCACCAAGCAAAGCCCCATCTGCTGGTGGGGGCCCCTGCTTGCCTGACCTGGAGCACTGTCAGACCTCCAGACTGCAGCCTGGGACACTCACAAGAGCATCAGAGTGAAAGGCCCACCGGACTCACGTATCCAACCCTCCATTGACAAATGTGGAAACTGAGGCCCAGAAAGGGTCACCTTGCAGGTCAGTCAGGTTGCTTCAAGGGGAATGACGAGTAAAGTGTATAGAACACTTACTAGATGCTGACAGTGGGCTAAGCTATCTTTCTCTCTGTCCTTGCCCTCGACGCTCACAGCAGCCACCCCTGCTTTACCAGGAACCTCTGGCCTGGAGAGGTAAAGTCACCGCCCAGGAGCACACAGCTGAGAGCAGTGGCACTGGGGCTCTAATCTGGAACATTGCATCCGCTGCCCCCTGCCCCAGTTTCTTCACGTCCCCTAGCTGCATGAGAACTGGACGCGAGATCTCTGAGCTCCCAGCCTAGCAGAGCCACTATGAACCAGGCCCCTTAGTCCTGAACGTGGCCTGATCTCTCTCAACTCTCCCACAAAGAGGCCGTCAGACCCAGCGGAGGCATCCAGCCCCACCTGCCCTTGAACCTGTGATTCTCTTTTGCCACTTGGTTCTACCCCTTTCCTGTCCCTACTACTCTGCCCAGATGGCTGGTTTCCTCTTCGGTCTCAGCTTAAAAGTCACCTGTTGAAGTAGACACCCCCTTTTATTGCTGCCCCCTCTTCACTACTTTACAGATGTAATCATAAGCTTGCAATCTCCCCTCCAGCAGGCTTCTGCCAAGCATGGTATCTGACCTGAAATAGGCCCAATGAGAAGTTGTTGAATAAATGAACAAGTGAATGAGGGAACTAAAAAGCCTTGGTTATTCTTCAAATAAATGTTTGCCTAAATCTCTCACACTTTGCTCTTGTCTAAGTGATTTTGTTAAAAGTTTGTCTAAATCCAAGGAAGTGGCAATTAAGAGGTTGCCTTTCTAGGTCCTTCTTTATGTTTCTATGCTTTACAAAGATGAACAGATGTAGTGGGATCACATTTGTGGAAAATAATTTATATGATATAAAGTGTATATTCTACAAGTTCCATATACTACATATAGTATGTTGCATATAATACAAATATCCACATAGTTACATGATCTAAAGAACACACTATACATATTTTTCTGTAATTTCTTTCCTTTTTTAATGGTATACCATGGGGCCTCTCTGGTGGCCTAGAGCTTAAGTCTCAACACTATCACCGCTATAGCCTGAGTTTGATCCCTGGCCAGGGAGGTGACCCACATGGCACAGCAGACCTCCTCAGCAGTGTCTTTCAGTCAATCTGCCTGTTCTGCTCCCCACTCTGTCTCTGGTGAATCCTCTCACCACCACTCCGCCCATACCTCTTAGCCTGCACCCCAGTTCTTCCACATAAAAATAAATAAATATTTTTAAAATAATAATAATAATTACATACCATGAAAATATTCCCTCACAACCACATCAGATCTACACCACGTTGTTAATAATTACATATTATCTTTCAAAAAAAAAGTCCTCATTCTTAGTGGAGACAGGACACAGGCACCTCTTCCCCCATCCCCACACTTCAGAGACCGGGAGGATTCTGTATGCAGGATGAGGCTGGATGAGACCAGGGGTGAGCAGGGGCAGGATATGTGGAGGAGGGAGCTGAGTAAGAGCGAGACATAAAACATAAAGGCAAATCAAGGAAAAGCCAGGGCCTAGAACTGTTATCAGTCAATATTAGCGAAAGGGGGGTGGGGAGGAGAGAAGAGGGGGGGGAGAGCTGTAGACACCCCAATTAGGCACAGGGAAGCAGGAAGGAAGAGGGCTCTTTGAGAGTCAGACAAGCATAGTGGGATAGCCAGCAGCGGCCTGGGTGAAGCTGGCCCCAAAGGTCTCCCCTTTCCCCTTGAAGAAGGTGGAAAATACATCTCCCAACAGTTCTGCCACCTGGTTCTCCAACACCCAGGAGCATTCGTCTGCTTCCGAGTGTGACTTGTTTATCTCCATTATGGAATCTCCAAGTTCAAAACAAACTTCCAAACAAAGGGACCCTCTGCTGTGTGGCTCTCACCTCCATTCTCCTGCAAGGACAGAGCCAAGATCCTGCGTTCCTGATGACTTTCACAGCCAGTCCACTGAGGGTCCCACCCCCAGCTTCCTCCTGCGTCCTTCCCATCCTTCCCGGCGGCCTCCAATTGTTGTGGACATCCTCACTGGGATAGCTTTTTTAGCTTCTTTAACCCTTTTCTTCCTATCATTATAATTACGCCTGGGAAATAAGATTGTTTCCCAACAGAAGCTATTTGGAACTCTCTGAGAGGTCCAAGTCTTGGTGGTCTCCCCCAAAGGCTGAAATCATCAGCACCCAAGTGGATGTGTGATCAGAAAGAACCTAGGCCAGAAGAGTTGGTCACCAAGTGCCCTGTGGCTGGTGACTTTGAGCTTTATTCTCACAGCACTGCTCTACGGAAAAGACCAACAGGTTGATATAAGTAGAAAATGACAAGACTGTTTCTGAGGATAGGCAGAAGTGAGGGGTGATACTAATAATTAGCATACATCAAGTCTTTGTTTATATGCCTTACACTGAATATTGTAATACACACAACCATCCATGAGACAGGTACCATATTATGTCCATTTTATAGATGAGGAATCTGAGTTTGAGGCTGAGTATTTTGCCTTCATAAGTGATAGAACTGGGATGAAGATCAGCAAGACTGAAATAGCTGCTGATCTATTTACCAAGATATCATTGGGTTTACCAAATTAATGTCTTGCTTAATTACTGTTAGTCCTCTCTTCACCCCACAGAGCTTATGCTCCAGGGGGTACAGTCCTCATCTGTGCTGTTCAGCTGTATCCCTAACTGACAATACAGAGTTTAGCACAAAGTAGACAGTCAATAAATGATTGCCAAGTGAATGAATGAATACCATGATTTTATCTGGTTGTATCCAATAATATGGAAATTTCTGAATCTGAGACCTTGGGAGCTAACTAAATGGAACAGTCCTGTTAATTTTACATGTTTGGTTTACCTGCACTTTCTCCCAGAAATAAATATCATTTTCCAAGCATTAGAACCTAACAAGTTACGCACAACCTGGGAATTGCATAAGGAATATCAGTCTGAAAATGTAAGGGGTCACTAAAGAGATCTTTTGAAATAATTTAAATATTTATTAATCACTTATTATTTTTTCTAAGTTATTCTATTTCTCTGCCATTTTCAGTAGCAAAGAATACCCTAGGCATCACCCAGATACTTTTTTAAAATGCAGAGCAATGAACCTGAGAGTCTGAATGTGAGCACCTCTCTCAGGTGATTGTTACGCAAACAAAACTTTGAGAACCACTGTAAGGAGGTTGGAGTTATTTCCTTTCCCCTGGGAGAAATAAAATTAACAGGCTACTAAAATGTGTTTCAAATCCACTGATCCTTCAGTTTATCTAAAGATGGCTCATCATTATCACATCTTGGGCTTATGAGCTCTATCTGTTTTTTTCATGAGGTGTATAGCAAAAATATTACAGGTTTCCAACGGGTGCGCTTTCCCAGTTTTAAGGGGTAGTGACCTACCCTAGTCCTGACATGCTACTCTCTGGTGTATTAAGGCAGGACTAAGCTAGAATGAGAAGACCTAGTCCAGTTCTGCCACAAGATGCTGTGTGTCCTAGGGCAGGTAACTCAACCTCTCTGAACCACTGTTTTCTTGTCTATAAGTTGGGAGTGGCAGTGTTCGCAGCTCTTTGATTCTACACATGCTCTAACCAGAGTCATTCTATCGATCGGGCTTACGTGTCCTCTCAGTCTTGTTTTTCGACACTCAAAAGTCATGCTTCAGTGACCAGTAATTAGGCTCAGAAGGTGACAGGGCAAGTAGCCAGGGGAATGTAAAAAACTCCACCCTGATGAATCGATTATGACCCAAAAATCCCAGAATAGGTTTCTATAGTACACACCTAAAAGAACTAATTAAAACAATACTTTTGGGCAAGAGTTCGCTGGCCACACAAGAACTAGGTGATCCAGTGAGGTTGAGTCAGGAGGCCCCACACCCGCTGTTTGTCTCAGATGGGGTTTGTCTCCAGGTGGGGTTCCTAGAGCGCCTCCTCTGAGTGCTGTCCAATATTCCATGCAGAAAAGACCTGGGGCATTCTGTCAAAAGGGTGTATTGATACCTACTGTGTGCCTGGCACTGTTATAGGTATTGGGGGGCCCTCAGTGAATCTCCCTGAAACACCCATACTTTATGAAGCTAACAGTCTGGTGGGGAAGAGAAAATAAACAACTGTCACAAATGAATCCAGGATAATGGGCGTACAGAGAGAGGTAGGGATAAGACAGCAGTCTGCAGGAGCCCCTCAAGTCTCTCCCACTTGGTCCACCCTCCCCCGTCTACACTTCGGGAAGGCCCAATAGGGGCAGCCTGGCCAGCTCAAAACTGGACACAGCAAGCTGCTTAGAAGCAGGGCTGGCAGTGAAAACCCCCGGGGACGGGTTTATCTCCCCATCACTGGCTAGCCCTTCGTCCCCACAACCGAGGGACGGGAAACCAGCGCTGAAGCGCTCCCCTGTTGGCCCCAGGACAGACGGTCCCCTCCAGCCTGGCCCACACCCGGCCCGAGCCGCGCGGCCGGGCGGGGCGGGGCCTGGACCGGCGCCTGCGCGTCCAGCAGGTGGCAGCAGCGAGCGGCCGCGCCCCCCGCGCTGCGCCCCGCGAGCCCGCATCATGGATGTCGAGCTCTCCCATTTCGCGTTGCTCGCCTGGGCATTCGAGACCCCAGCCGAGGGCCAGGATTCATGAACCGGTCGCCGGGGCCCGGGCAGGGGCCTCTGGCTCCCAGCGCTGGCCGAGAGGTGGGTCCCGGGGCGGGCGGAGGCCGGGCGGGGAAGCGCTGCCCAGCGGAGCCCGGCGCCTCGCGCGCTGCCCCCGCCCTGCCTCCCCGGGGTCCACACCCCCTTTGGGCTGGCGAGGCGCCGGGCTGGCATAGCCGGGGTGCGCGCCAGCAGGCGCAGCTGGTCCGACTTCTGCCCGGGCTGCGGGTCGGAGGGGCCGCCGGACTTGGAGCCGGTGTGCTCCGCGCCGCCTGCCCGCTCTCACCTGCGCGGGGTAGTCCCCTGGCCGTCAAGGCCGGGGCTCCAGCCCAGACTGGAGAGGACAGCGAAGGGAGAGGGAGCACCCGAGAATCCACAGTTGGGACTGCACTGCCTTTTCACCCCCCAGGTGATGAGTGAGGTCAGAAGATCAGAAGATTTCAAAAGCCACGGGGGCCTCCGTATTGAATGAAAGACCCAGTGCAAAGGCATCGCCATGAACACGAGCAGTAAGTGGGTCCTCCTTCCTTTGCCATGGGAACCGGGTGGGGGCGGAGGTGCAGGAGCCTGCGCCTGGGCTGCCAGGAAGGAGGAAGGAAGCCTGGCACCTGGGTGGACACCTGGCCCCCGGGCCTCTTTTTGGTGCTTTCTGCCTCCCAAGCAGAGGCTTATGGGTCGGGCTTTTCGTAATAATTTTGCTAATGTTCCATCGGCAGCACCACTTGCCTCTCCCGGGAAGGCTGCCGGTCTCCTTCTGGCAATGCCTGGGAAGGCCTAGAAGCAGTTGTGTGGCCATTGTCTGCGGTGGGGGCTCTAAGGAGACATCCCTGCACACAGCTGGGAAGCCAGGAAGGGCTGGGTTGGTCCAGGCGCTGGAGGATCAGGGAGACTATCTCCGTGGGACTGGTGGGTAGGTGGGTGTGGGCAGGCAGTGGGATGGGAAGGAGCAGTTTGATAGCCAAATCATCAGGGAGCCACCTTTGGGTCAGGAGAGGGTGAAAGCTCCTGCCTCCGGCACCTGCAGGCCGACAGGCCCTGGCCCTGGTTTCTCCACCCACCTATGGCTGCTGGCCACCCTGAGAAGTAGAAAAGAGGGGCAAGCCCTTTGGCTAAAGTCTCTATCTTGCCAGAGGCAACTGCTGCTTTGCAGAGCCAAGAACAGACATTTTGCTGCTGGGCTGAGCCCCAGCTGCTGAGAACTGCAGTCAGAAATCAAGGAGGTCCGGTCCCTTGCTCTAGAATGTGGTCCCTTTGACCAGGGCTCAGGCTGAGTTACGTGGTCTGGGCTCCAGTCCCCTCTCTTACTCCCTGGGCAGCTGAGCTTGTCTGGCTCCTTCCAACAGAAGATAGGGTTCTTGAAGGGATGATCCTTACGCCCCCCCCGCCCCCCCTCCCATCAGTGACTTTGCCATCAGCATCTTAGCTGGATCCCAGATTGCTCATGTGTAAGATGTGAAGGGTTGAATTAGAAACCCTCCCAATTAAGAATCTACAAGTTTCTCTTAAAAAAGAAGCTAGAGCTGAGCAGCAGGGCCAGGAAAATCATTGCCTTGAGGCTCTGCCCACACAAACCCCACTGTGTCTTCACTCTCCGTCCATTTCAAGGCTGTTGGAGTGGAGGAGAGAAGGGAAGCAAAAGCCACGGAGATGGAAATGAAATATATTTATTTACTATGTATTTGTGTGACTCATCTCCGTCTTCCTCTGTGTATTGCAGAGCTGTATGAAGCTAGTGCATGTGGCTGGACTCCCCCTACCTTTTCCAGCCAAAGAATTTTGCTTCTTGCCTTTCACAGTCTGGAGTGGGGCTTTGGCTTCACACCAGGTGCAGGAAAATAGCAAAATCCTACAGCCCTGTCACCTAGTGGGCCACATGTTTGCATCTGAATGCTTTCAGACAAGGGAAGATATGACCTGCCTGTCACTTCTCACTATCTCAAGGGGGAGAATGTATTTATGGGAGTCCTTTCTCACTAAATGACAGAAGAGAAAATGGCTCATCTGTTTTTCGAGGAACTCAGAAATAGGTTAGCAGGCAGCTGCCCCTGACCCTTACTCTCTCTGGAATCCTAAAATGCTGTAGTCCAGTTAACAACACTGAGTAATCCTGAAAGAAGGAAGCAGAGATTTTACTTTTCTAAAAAACAAATAGTGACCTATCAAGTGGAATACTGCATAGGAGGACTAACAAAAATGCCATTCCAGCCTCCTGCGCTTTTTCTAAGGAGGGAGGGTGTGTTTATTTTTCAGGAGTAGTGGAAAATAAGCAGAATGAATGACGTAGACAGCCTTTGGGGGGCCCTGTGGTGCCCTTAAGAGGGAGCGCTTGCTAAAGGGCTGCCTGGGGGCATGCTTGGAGGTATTCAGGTTCAGGGCTGGGCTCCATCAGCTCCAAGGCTCCTCCTGACCTGGAGAGTCTGCAGATGGAGAGAGGAGTCAGAGCTCATACAGTGAAGGAGTCACGGCCACGGGTCCTGGAGACAGGACATTGGCAGGAGGTCTTACCTTAATCTGCATGTGTGAAGTGGAATCTAAGAGAAACCCGACCTGGAAGATGGGTGTTAGGACTCCAGTTTTGTAGGTGAAACCTGTCGCTAGGGTCCCCTGACTCCTTCAAGCCGTGCAGTTGACAATGAGGCGGTGACAGATACTTGGACGCTACCATTTTTGACAGCGCGTACCATTCCCTGCTAAGGTTCATAGGTCACCACTGAAGCGGGGCAAAGCAAGAGCTGATGATTAAGTCGCCAGTCACTTCATCCGGAGAATGGGATCGCAAGGCTGTGGTCTTGGGGCAGCGAGGAAGAGCTGTTGGGGTCGGGGGCTGGAGTCAGGTGGTGCCAGTTGCTCTTGTTTCCCTGGTTGCCGGGTGGTCTTTGGCTCAGTGATCTCACCTGCGTGATGGGAATGTTGGGGCCACCTCCACGTGCAGTGGGGGGAAAGGTGACCGTGTCGTGGCAAACACGGAACGTGGTACATGGGGCCAGGCTGGCACGGGTGGTCCACCGAGGCGGTCCGGTCGTCATGGTCATGCGACTCTTGTCATTGTTGACTTTACAACCTCAGCATCAGGTCACCTTCCGCATAAATTGAGAATACCAGAAGTGTGATTTCAAGGACTAAATGAGGTTATGAAAAATTGTATTGCAAACATATGTAAATTGTTATTAATAAGAAACAGGCATCTCAGCTGGCAGAGCAGGGCAGTGCTCAGCCATCGACTCCTGGAGTGTGTTCTGGCTTCATCAGGATCCTTTCTGAGACCTAGCTGGGCTTGAGTACACTGCAAGGCAGGAACTTGAAAAAAGGTGATTTTGGAGACAAAGGAGCAGGGTGGTGGGGCAGACATGGACAGAAGGCAACAGCAGACCTTGGGGCCAGAGGAGGGGGAGTAGTGCTCCTAGGAGACTCCATAGATACGAGCAGGACCCTAGGGTTCGGCAACCCAGGACTAATACTGTACCCTGGAGAACACTCCCATGGGGGAAGGGCACCAGCACCAGCTCCCCCCCCCCCACCATCCATTACCCAGGCTCCACCTCACCCCGTGGAGTTGCAGGAGCCCTCCCAGTCCTCCAGACAAGTCCCCCGATGGACACTTGGCCCTGGTTCTTCATCAGACACTCATCCATGTGATCGCAGGCCACTCCTGGATCCACAGAGCAATGAAGGGGCTGGCCCTACACCACTCTCACGTGGTCCCCAGAGCCATGGGGTACAATGTGCCTCTTCTCAGGCAACAAGAAATCTTTGGCCATTCCTGCCAATATTTCCCATTCCCATGTTGGCTCCAGGAGTTCCCAGACCCTTGGGTCTAACGTCGGGAAACCGAGTTGAACCCAGACAGCCAAGGCCCCGAGGGCCAGCATGATTGGGTGCATCTGGAAGGCCATGCTCCCAGAGCTCCTGAAAGGTCCGGCTCTCCCAGATGCAAACTCTGGCCTGGCACTTCTCTGAGGGTGTGGAGTGCCTTGTAGGCCTCGTTCAGTTACCAGGAGCCAAACTCCCTCGTTTCCGAGGTCTCCTCCTGGCCTCCAGCCCCTCCTGGATCTGCTCATAGGTCAGTGGCTAACAAATTACTGCTGGGAGTCTAGACTTTGGAGAGTCTACTCTTTTTTTTTTTTTTTTTTTTAAGATTTATTTATTTATGCATACAAGTACTGGGGTATAGGCCAGAGGTGTGGGAGTGAGAGGATTCACCAGAGACAGAGTGGGGAGCAGAACAGGCAGACTGACTAAAATACACTGCTGAGGGGAGCAGCGGGCGAAACAGGAGAGGTCTGCCGTGCCATGTGGGTCACCTCCCTGGCCGGGATAGCTTCACAGTGCTGTGCTGAACCCCTTGCGCCACCAGGGAGACCCAACTTTGGAGAGTTTAGAGTTTGCTGTTTTGGACTAAGTTTTGTTGAAGAGAGCACTGAGGGGTCACGTAACCCCCACAAAAGCAGCCACCATACTGAGTAGTGAGAGCCTGTGCTGAGGGGGTGGCTTCCAAGTTCAGATTCCAGACCTCTTATGTGCTCTTCCTGTGACCTTGGACAGGATAGATCACTTCTGAGCCTGAATTTTATCGTGTCCAGAATGTGAGCAGTGATGCCCATGTGCACGTTTGTTGTGAGGATTAAGTGAAAAAACAGGAGAAACTCCTGAGGGTGGTCTCAGGGAATGGAGTTGAATTTGAAGTTGACTTGACCTTTGTGGAGAGCCAAGATCTGGAAGGAAGGTATGTAGAGAGCCAACCCTCAGATTAAAAACTAGCCTGTTTTTCTAGTACTGTAGCCACACCGGGTTCTGTACACAGGAAAGCCATCACTTTCCAGAGGTCTTCAGGAAGTTCCTTATCTGAATATTGTATATGCCATGGGGAAAAGAAAAGAACAAAATGGAAATTAGGATCCTAGGTGGGAGGCGGTTCCCCTAGTTCAGAAAAAGCCTGAGGATTTGGGTAGTGGTCAGAATAGAAATAAGAGGAAATGAAGTTTGTGTGGCCTAATTCTTGTTGGGTTTTAAGGGGAAGGAGAAGGGCAGTCTGTAAGTCCAGGTGTTGGCAAGGAACAGATTTTGAGGGCAGTTTGAGGGGGGTTAAGAAGGAGTCTTCACAAGTGGGTTACTAGGGCGAGAGAAACAAGAGACCAGGAGAGTCCAGTCCTGGGAGAGCAGTGGCAAAGGCCAGTTACCACACTAACCATAACTGCCCGTAGGCCTGAGGGGCAAAATAAAGGAACCAGAGACCACCGAGGGATGTAGGGTGAAGAGCAGCCAACCTATGGCAACACCCCAAGGAAGGAACCAGGAAATAAATATCCTGTCCTGCCCCCCACCTCCGCCAAACCCCTCCCACCCCCACTCTCCTGCGGCCGGGAGCCAGCGGGCTAAGAAGGCAGTTGATGGCCCAGAATGGTTGGCGCCCAGTACATGCAGGCAGAGACAGGAGCAGGGTGTTTGGAGTCAAAGACACAGTTCAGGAGCAGATGACTGCCTCTGGTAATGTCATTGCCCTTGTCAGGAA